GATTAAATCAATGATAACACATTTGAAAATCTCACAAACTATATGATTATAGAAAAAATATTTTAGTTAAAAAAAACTTAAAAAGTAAATATTGTTTTTAGGTTCTGGTGTTTTTTGAATATATTATTCAAAATTTCAATATACATATAATCTACTTGCTATTACATTATCTAGAAAGGAAATAAAGGCCAGTTCTACTTTAAACTCTGGAAGATGGATATATATGGATAGGTATAGAACGAATACAACAAATAAGTCACAATCAATTCAGTCTATGAGAAATGCACCTGCAGGACATTCAGAGAAAAAGATTCCACAATTAACCTGTGTTTATTTCATAATAAATTCAAATGCCCAAACCAGCAAGGTGTGCCATAAAGGACAACACAATCCCTCATAGAGACTTCTAAGAGTCTAGAGTAAAAACCATATTTTTAATGATAAGGAACTATATTTTTAATGATAAATTATACTTTAATTAAAGAATAATAACTGGTGTAGAAATGGTGGTGCGTGCCTGTAATATCAGCACAGGAGAAACAAGGATTCAGTGTAATCCTTGGTAATTACAAGTTCAAAGCCAGCCTGGGCTATATGAGAAAGTATTTTAAAAAATAGCTTGTGTCAATACAAAGTGTGGAATACTATAATTAACACTATAAACTAAAAATTATGACAAAATATCTGCTACTGCTTATCTATTGCTTAATACTGCTCTTAGCAGTTTAGGTAATGTGATTTGAAACAATGGGACAAAGAGGCATTCTTGTCAGCTCTACATGATTAGACCTGGAAAGCTTAATAAGGATGGAATTCATACAGCGAACCAGTAAAATGAATTTCCAAGACAGTATAATCTCTAAATATAGTAAAAGAAACACAATAAGATTAAAGGATGAGATGCAAAAGGAAATGTTCAGAATTAAAACCAAAAGTTTCCTGAGGGACATACAAGAATTAATTAGGAGGATGGAGAGATAGCTCGGTGGTTAAGAGCATGATAGATGATCTGAGTTCTGTTCCTAACACTGTCATGGTGTTTCACAACTGTCTGTAACTCCAGTTCCAGGGGATCTAGTGTCCTCTGAATACACATGCATGCAAACAACACCCATACACATGCACATACACATACATACACATTTATATTAATAAATATTCAAACAAAGAATTGAATAAATTGTTCCCATAAAAATATACAATTTTATAAAGTTGTCTGTTCATTCAACAGTTCTATATAAATGTGATTTTAAAACATTTTAGAATGTTCATTGACACACTGATATAAAACATTCCAAGATAAACTTTTAAAAAGTATGAAAATACCTTGGATAAATATGAAATATAGTGTATTAATAATTACTAAAGTACTGGTAAAAGTTTATATAAATTATACCAAATATATAATTAAGCATAAGGAAAGATACTATTCCAAGTCAAAAGGGTTCAGAGCATTCAGTCATAGTACATAATGTTATTTTTTAACTGTTTAAAAAATCTGTAACTCTAGTTGACATTATGAATCAAAATATATTGCAGAGGAAAGAAATGGTTAAATGTTTCAATAAAGAACCAACTAATTGGAAGAAAATATGGCAGAATAATACCTAATCTCAAGGGTGGGAGAAGCCTATCCAAACCAACTGCAACAGAATCAAGCCCTTAAAGGGGAAGAAAGAAAGAATGTGATGCTACGCAAATGTACCCAAGAGTTCTCAGTCTCTCACAGCCCAGCAAGCTCTGGACAAGTCACTTAGAGGGAAATGAGCAACTTGCTGTTGAGTAAATGGATTGGCTGACTCATGAAACCTCACTTTCATGGCATGTGTTTGCCAATAATGATTTTTGAAGATTATCTATCAAAATGAAAACCTACACTTAGCAGAAGAAGCAGCTCACAAAGGGGGTGATACTAACTTTATACAAAACTTGGGGTATAGATAAAAGATTTAGGCAAAATTATAGAACACCTTTGTTTTATTGTATGTTGTACTCTATTTCTTACAAATAAATATGTATGAATTTTGGAATCAGGGGAAAGTAGGACCTACTGAGAGACAATGCTTAAGATAGGAGCTACTGATAACTCACAACAGCACATAAGCCTCAGAGATCTAGTGTCAATTACCTTAACCCTCAGAGAGAGGACACTGAGTGCAGGAGTGCAGCTGGCCAAGTCACATACAGCAAAAAGTGTGTTCTCTCCACATCAGTTAAATCAACTTTTTGAATTACCACTTAACTAAGGTTTTTTTAATGTCTAAAGTAATGTATGATTGGTAATATTTTCTGCATGTAATGTATGTGGTGACGAAATGCTAAAATGTATGAAAAGAAAAATGTAGAATAAGTTAAATGGAAAATGTTAGAATGTTATCATTTATGTCTATAAAATTCAGAATATCTCACCACTGGAAGCTCAAATAACATACAGGGCCTCCAGAGAAAGGGAGCAGAAAGGCTTGATTCTGCCTATTTCGCTTTTGAGAATTACACATTTTGAGCACCTGAAACTTGTGCTTTTTTATTTTTTAAACTCAATCAGAATTAAATATAAATAAAAGTGAAAGATATAGGAGGAGACACACCATGAAGTGTATAAAAAACAGAGTTTATTAGCATGTAGATAATAAAATGTTAGCTTTCATGCTGCTAGGAGAAAGCAAGACCCTCATCACTCATGTTGGCAACGCTTGCCTTTGCATAAGCCATTTTTGTCCTCACTATTATAAAAACCAAAGGCTCTGGGAAGAGAAGAAAACACAAAATGACGTGTGAAGTCACACAGCCCATGTTATTGCAGCTGGATGGAGAATATGTCACTAATGACTTTTCTTTCTACCCATCAGTTATGTTGAGATTCCTTTTCTTCCAAAATAGCAAATGGCCTTTATAAGTACAAAGCAGAAGCAGTAAAATTCAAAATAATATCCCATTTCCACTTGATTTTAACACCATGTTAGTTAATGGAATGAGCTATTAGTTATTCTTTGGGAAAGGACAACTATTCTCCTCATTTGAGTTGAATGGAACAAAGGTCTACCAACTTTCTGCAATAAATTAAAAATAACATTTCATGAGATATCTACCATCAAATGGTTGTCTTAACTGAGCCAAACAACCCAAAATTGTTTGATAAATCTGGGGGGACTAATGTGATTAAGATCCTGAAGTGTTCCTGCAAACAGAATGTGGAAATCTGTGAGAGATGACTGACAGCATTCATAGCTGGTCCTTCCTCTCATGACCCCAAAGTAAAAGAATATAACACTTCTTCTCCAGAAATGCCTCCACAAAAGGGTGGATTAGGCCAGAAGCACAGACATTTTACTCACAGGTTAACACAATACTAAAACACATTGTACTCCTTCATTTCTTAATGTTTTAGAAAGATGACATGTGACATACAGGCAGGGCATGAAGCTACAGGGCTTCCTAGTACTTTGTTTAGTTTCTGTCTAGTTTAGTTCCCAGAGCCACAAAAAGAAGTAAATTAGAAAACAATGATAGTCTAGGAGTCCAAGAGCCAGAAACGCTAAATCCCAGAACTCTCTTGGCTATGAATCAGTTTTGAATCCTCTGGGCCTGTTAACAGTGCCAAGCACTGTAACCTGCACTTCCCACACTCTGCCAAGTGCTACATCTGTGAAGCCTTTTCCTGTGTCAACTCTCTCTGTGTGAAGGAGCATATGAAGTAGAAGCTCTTATCACCTCCATTGAGACAAAGGAGTATAAGTGTAGAGAAATTCAGTGCTTTGTCCAAAACTACTCAGGCGTAAAGTGATAAAGGGAGGATGGGAACCAAAGTAAATAGGGCTCAGAAATCACCCAAAATGTGTGATGCAGGGCCTATTCAATCTACTTCTGTTGGGATTTTATAGATAGCCTCTTTTCAGCAAGAGAAACTCACACAAATAACTTTAATCTATAAGTTGTGCTTTATTATGATTCTAACAGAACAAACATTATCTTCATTTTTTGTTTATTTATTATTAGAATTTATTCACTTTATATCTCTGCTATGGTGCTCTCCCTTATCTCCTCCCAATCCTACCCTCCCTATTTTTCCCCTATGCCCCTCTCCCAGTCCACTGATAGGGGAGGTCTTTCTCCTCTCCCATCTGACCCTAGCCTATCAGGTCTCAATCAGGACTGGCTACATTGTCTTCCTTTGTGGTCTGGCAAAGCTGCACACACACACACACACACACACACACACACACACACACACATACCCCCCAGGGGGAGGTAATCAGAGAGCTGGCCACTGAGTTCATGCCAGACAGACATATAAGATAAACATACTAAAATCTATACTCCTAAAGAAGCTAAATAAGAAGGAGGACCCTAGGGAAGATGTTCAATCCTCATTCAAAAGGGCAAACAGAATAGACAACCGAAGCAGGAGAAGACAGGGAACAGGACAGGAGCCTACCACAGACGGCCCCTGAAAGACTATACTGATCAAAGCAGAGGCTAAAACTCAGCCAAACTTTGTGCAAAGTGCAGGGAATCTTATGAAAACCTGGAGGGGATAGGAGCTCCAAACAGAGTCCAAAAACAAACAAAAAAAAAAAAAAAAAAAAAAAAAAAAAAAAAAAAAAAAAAAAAAAACAACTGGGTCCTGGGCCCTGCAGAGACTGATATCAACCAAGGACCATGCATGGAGAAGATCTAACCCCCTACTCAGATGTAGCCCATAGATTCAGTCTCCAAGTGAGTTCCCTAGTAAGGGGAGCAAACTATGTCTTTAAACTGCTCTTTATTGTTTGACAAAAATTTCCTTCCATCACTTTTATGAATTAAATTCACAAGATAGTTTGTACACTGACATCGGGGACAGCAAATGTCCACAGTGCACACTTCACACAGAAGTCATTCAGGAATGTGTCACACCTATTCTTCCATGGAAACCTAATTTAGGGTCCTGGCATGAAGACCAGCAGCTGCCTGGGGTGTGTGAAGTAACAGCGACACATTTTATACTTTTTATATTTTACCTTTGATTTCTCCGAGAAGTTCACTTGTATTTAGTCTTTCCATTTTTTCCTTCCAATCTTTTGAAAGTAGTTTTTCCATGCAGGAGGAATCTATTAAAATACAAAAGTAAGTATTAAAGATGTGTGTTACAGACCCAGAGGGCTAGCTACTTGAGCAACTGGCTCCTTGGGAAACAAACAAAAGCTGTTTCTCTTGCTGTTGTTTAAATTCTACCATTCTCTATAATAAAACACCATGACTGAGGTAAACCACTGCCCCAGGATGATAGTGTTCTGTAATCCATGCTTAGCAGCCTAATTCCAGCAATATTTAATCAATGTTTATCATTTATCAGACTGATAAGGCAGAACAAAGGCTCCTTTCTAAGACTTTAAATTTAAATGGTATTTCTTTTAGCCCAGGTGATTTTTTTTAAGGTTAAGCAAAATTTATATGCTGTGCAAGGAACAATGATAAATCATTAAGGGAGAAGAGGCCAATTGACCTGTAACTATTTAGCCCATTAAAGAGAAACTCAACTTTTGTAAAACTAAACATTAGATAAATAAAATTAAATCAAAACTAATTAAATTGCTCTTTCAATTAAATCAAAATTAAATTAAATCAAAATGTTCTTTATGTCCTCATAGTGAAAACCACTAAAACTTTTATATAAAAAGCAATATATATATATGTTTATTAGAGAAAAGACATATTTAAATAGTATCCATCCTAGTGCATTTTAAAATAATGTTCTAGATTACAGGGAGCAATTACATCTGTTTTTATAAAGATCCATAATGTTATAGAAACACAAACATGAGAATGCCTTAACAATAATCTATTTTTTCCTATGTGCATTGCTTTCTTCTCTGGATTCTGATAGACTTGCAAGCAGGCCTCCTGCTTATAACTGTCTGCATGTACCTTTTCAAGACTCAACTCAACAAACAGCCCATGTTTCCAGGGAATGCAGATTTTAAAACTCCCATTAAACTTTAGCATTCCAAGTGTCAAAATTCTGATAACTTTCTTTTTAAATTATATTTAAAATGGTTTCTACAGTTCCAAATAATTTTTCTCCCCCATATCACCACCTATCTTTTGAGCATTTTCTCTTTCATTTTGTTTTCCGTCTAGCTTCCAAATCCGCCTTAAATTTTTCAGATTGACAGTTAGGTCAAAATGTCTCTAAAGGGCTTTTGAGGCTAGATAAGCTTTAGAAAAGGCAGTGATCCTTGCTCAAGAGATGAGAAGACCTTCTCATGATTAGAAGGCATTGCTGAAAACAATTAACATTTGTTTGTGACAAGATCAATCAATCAGGGAATGGATGGAATCCAGATCCTATGTCATGAAAGAGCCGATACTGTCATAGGACCCTATGTCCTTTCTACATAGAAAGGCTATTAAGCGAAAGCCCTCTGCCTCTTCTGGAACTTCACTCCACTAAACATTCATGAATATGGTATGTGGTTTGTTCAGTAGCTATATTTTTCCAATATTAATACTGAGTTTATAGAGCTAAGTAGCAAATCTTCACAGGCGTGCCTGGCAGACATCATTGCTTCTCCAATCAGTTTGGGATTTCTAAACCAGATAGTTACAACATTAGATAACAGATGAAAAAGAACAATAAACAATCTTGAATTTTATACCCTACCAGGATTTGTTCCCTTTTCACCCATTCTTCTATGTTCTGTCATTGCATTAAACTGATGCTCACTGGCATAGATGCAGGACTCCAAAATGTCTGTTTAAGTTAGAGTTGAGATGGTAGACCCATCAGACAAAATCATAGCACTTCAAGGATGGCCATAAAGTCAGGTCAAGTCTACACAGACACACTAGACATAGGACATGCCTATAATTCCTATAAATAGACTTGAAATACCCCAGAGATCTGAGGAAAGAATGCTGATGCTTCATGGGAAACAAAAGACAACTCTATGGACAAGAATGTATACTCCAACATAAACCCAGCCAGTTTCACAGGGGAGCTACACATTCAGAGGCTCCAAAGCATTTGATATTCTTGCTAACTCTGAGACCCAGCTACCCCAGCTCCTGCTTAAGTAGAAAACCTGAAGGAAGCTATAAATCGGCTTTGTGGATCTACATTTATAGACAGGAAGATATTTAATAACTATCACTGATAATATTTATCTGAAGGCACTAACAGTCATGTACATGGTCCTCATCCTAATTCTGGAAAGCCCTGCATTAACACCGTCTCTTGACTACTCATCTGATGGTCAGTCCCTCCAGGACCACTCCGGTGCTACAGAGTAAAGCAAGATAGTGCGAAAGGCCAGGCGCTAGTTGATATCCAGCCACTGTCCTGGGGAAGTTTCTGATCAGAGATGAGGAAACATGTAAAGATCCAAAGTTACAAATGAAAAGTTGTACTGCCAAAGGTCCCAGTCATGGGTGGGGATGCAGGTTAAATGTGAGGCTCCCTCCCCAGACTACATCAGCCTTCCAGCATATCAACAGGACACCAGTTTTGCAGCAGCAGCTGTGAGAGCAGACCTTACCATGTTTTGATGTAGCTCAACTGCAGAGTTCAAGAGGAAAAACTGCATAAATGAGACCTTACGCTGCACACAGAAAGAGCATGACACAGTGCCCTCAGTACAGCAGCCACAGTGATTCTAAATGGGGTAAGGGGAGGGGGGAACCAAATGTCCCCTAAATTGCTTAGGGTTCTGTCTCAGAACAAATGTTTTATTTCATTATTCTGAAAACAACTTTCCACTAAGAAGTCAGCGACAGTAAATTTCATTATTTAAGTTTGGCTGTTCAAACTTTTGTGACTGAGCTGTCTGCAGCTACAGAACCAAATGATTTCAAGATTGAGAGAAAAGATCGTAATAATATGGATGATACACAGTAACCCTGAAATGTAGACACATTAAAAACAGGCATAACTTACAGTGCTCCCAAATTTGTGTGGCATGTTATCAGAGGCTAGAGTTCATCCTTCCTACCCAATACCTACTCAGTGATACACACGGCCCCAAGTGTTTTGAGCTATTATTTTATGAAAGATAGGGATTTTATTTTAGTTATTTTCTATTTGAATCAAAGATATAAAGATCCTATAATTCTAGACTACTATTAAGTTATGTAGTTTTTTGGTAGACTGTTTTTTTGGAGGGGGTGAAGTTCAGGAAGTTTTCACTTGCTTATTTTTTCAAATTTAAGATTTTATTTTTCAGGAAACTCATTCTAAACTTTCTTCGACAAGAAAAAAATATACAATTCAGGACTGAAATTCAGAACTGATTTTATTTAAAATACACCATATAACAGATTGTAAAACATAGTTGTGCCTCTTAGAAACTGAGGCTTTGGGCTGAGTAAAGGACGCTTTACCACGGGGTGCTAATGCACTGGCTAATGATGGATTTCATGGAATGAGGGAAGTTCAAGGTGAGATTATATTAATTATATAGATTATTCCTAATCCATAGGCTGATATTTTAAGAATGGTTTTCAGTTATTCTCTCTCTCTCACTTTCTTTCATATATATATATATATATATGAAGTATATATACCCATATATACCCATATAGTACCCATGAAGCCATTTACATATATATATATATATATATGTACCCATGAAGCCATTTACATATATATATATGTAAATGGCTTCATGGGTACTAATTATGATAAAGGCTTATCTTCTGTGTCAAAGAAAGTAAATAAATCATAATTAAAGCCAAAGAAGACAGAAAATGGGAAATATTTCAGTATACTTTAAAACAGTTTATCTGTGAGTAAACATTTGTTATTCCTTTCACTTCCATGCAATACTGAAAGACAGAGGAATAAAATATCATGAACATGACACAGAAAATATCTTTTAAATATTCTAGTGAAAAATCAAATGCTTCAGTTACTGTGCACACATTAGGAGAAATGTGTGTGTTAGTCGTGCTTCTGACAACAGTAAAGACATCCCTTTATTTTTCCATCAGAATCATCAGTTTCAGATGGAATCACTTTTATCCGCATTTACAAACACAGATAATTTATCTGAAGTGCCCGTGACTTCTGTTTCTAGCCAAACTTGACAATGTACATTTAGTCACCCCTCAGCAGCCCCAAGTGTTTCCATTAGGGACAAACAGATGCAGTTATAAGCTACTGTACATTTTTTCACACAGTGGCAAGAGTCCCACAATACAGTGGGATAAAATTGGAGCTTGGAGAGCTTGAAGAGCACTCTTAAATTTTAATTAAAACCCTCCAAGCTCACTAAAAATAATTAGACACTAAAATGTGCCAGTTTTATTTTGAAGTCACTATAACATACAAAGCAATGCTCCATGATGACTGTCCCTACACACACACACACACACACACAATGAAACAACTGACTTTCCAAATAAGAACAAGTGGTATAAATAGAGTCTGTTTTCAAGCAAGCTCTTCATGCAGGGAGCTGACAGAAAAGCCCACAGAGTGTGTTTTTCAATCTGAACCAAACAAATCTAGAAATAAATTCCCCAACACAGTGTGTAGATCACCAACCAAGTCCACAGAAAATCCAGTGTGGAAAGAACAGTGCACACTATATCACTGAGCTTTTCTGATCTGAGAGCCAAACCTTTAACCTCTTAAATGTTTCTGCTATCTTAAAATATCTCATACAGTGCTATACTCTGTCCTATTTTTAGGCAAGGAGCAGAGAAAGCATGCCTTTCCCATACAGCAGGGCAGCGGCATAAACGTCAGCATAGAGGCTTTGCCAGGACAGACTGGATCTCCAGCACTTGATCAGTGAGGAATGCACCAACTGTTTAGGATAATCTCGTGCCAGCCCCCTTGTGCTCCACACTCCCCTGTGGGAGTGGCCAATCTTGTCCTGCTCCCAATTCTTCATTTTCCTCCTCCACATACTCTCCATCCAAAAAGATGAGAAGTAAGACATTTATGCCTAGCAATGAGAAAGCAGGCTCACTTCCCCAAACAGACCAAAACTTTAAAACAATTAACCCTCCCCTCTTCTTTCAGATAAATTGCTAAGTATAAAATGCAATCTGTTCCCTTTGTTTACTCAATAAGAACAATTTGTAAATGACTCAAGGATAAAATTCA